CACCAATGCTTGAAACATGGCTCTTACCTCCCCAGGGGGCAGCAGTCAGTCTGCTGAAGGCTAGGGTACATGCAAACAAATCGCACTAGAGGATGTTTGGGAGGCACCAACCTCAGCACCTAACCTTCCTCAGCCACAGCTCCGTTGCTTCAAGTCCTCAGGTTTGAAGGACTTGAAACAAACAATGAACCTAGCTGTTCGTATTTGGTGTTCCTCAGGTGTGTTCAGTGAAACTACCTGGGTCAGAATCACCTGGGGAGCTTGAAAACGTGTATCCCTGCCCCCTGCCCCACAACTATTGAACCAGAGCCTCTGGAAATGAGCACAGGATATCAGCATATTTAACAAGTATAATATCTTAGATGATTCTGATAGCCTTTGAATTCTAAGACCCTCTTGGGTAGGCTTGGGGGATGGGCAACAGTTTGGCAATAAGCATGAGGGGTAGGTGCTGATATCCTGGGGTAGCAAACCCCAAGGGAATGGCCTCCCACATGGTATGAAGGGTTTGGGTGGACGAGCTTATATGTACTTTTCAGGGAAGAGCGGTCTTAACCCCCATGGTGTCTCTTAAGCCTTGCTCTATAGAGTGTGGTCAGAGGAACGTGGCATTAGCATCACCCGGGAACTCGTCAGAAATGCTGACTCCCAGGCCTCACCCAGATCTATGGACTTGGAGTTTGCATCTTGACACAATTTCCTCTCTCCCTCCCACCCCCCCCCCCCCCAAATAATTCTCTTGCAAGTTAAAGTTTGAAAAGCATTGGCCTAAGGCTGGTGGCAACACTGAATGATTGTTTGTTTGTGCTGTAGCAGATGTCCCTCTCCAGGGGCTCCGGTAGATCTAGGAGCCCAGGTCTGCTCTTCTATGTTTTGCATATTTAGTCTGTGGCTCAGTCATCCTAGGCCTCACATAGGGCAACCTCAGCACCTAACCTATACCAGGACCATCCCCTTGTTCCTTTGCTTGGGGTTCTCAACCTCCAAGGGGAGGCCTGCATGGGGGCTGCAGAGGCCCCCTCAGCTGCAGCATCGCTCTGGTTCTTCTTCCTGGGCAGCTGGCAGCTGTGCCTATCTGTCCCTGCAGAAGGGACAGGCGGCTAAAGGAACAGTCACCCTGAAGTGGCAGAATTGAGAGGTAAAATAGAACACATGTGTTCAATTGCAGCCCTACTACTCCTGTAGTTGCAAACTACCATATGTAGGTAAGAGAAACAAGGGGGAAGCTGGGCTTCATCTCTTAGGTCTCTCCTTGCAGTCTCCCACTGAGTTTGCTTCTTCTGAAGTCAGTCTTGGCTGCCCTCCTGCTGCTCAGCGCTCACCCACACCGTCCTTCCTTTTCAACAGCTCCTGCCAGGAGACTTGTTATTCTGGTCCCAATATGTGGTTGGCCAGAGGCCAGGGTCTGGCTGCCGACAGACTGGCTGACTACTTAGCCAGAGTGATGGCTTTCCTCTCCATAAGCACAGCTGACAGCTCCTCTCTGCCCCACCGACTGTACGTCTTATCTGGGCATGGCTGGGGGTTGCTCTGGAAGTGTGTTTCAAAGTCTTCTTGGTTCCATCCTCTGTGTAACTACTTTCCTACCTGCTCTCTCCCTTCCTTTTCTTTGTTTGTCTCTAATTCTTCTGTTTTTATTTCTCCCATCCCAACCCTCAAGCCACTGTTTCCATCTTTACAGAGATATACTAGTACTTCAGGATCACACAGCTCTAAGATATCCTCCTTTAACCTCTTCTACCTTTCTAGGTACGGCCCTAGTTTTCTCTCCTCCAACAGCATGACTTCTTGGAACAATTGACATCACCTATTATTTCCCATTCCTCCTTTTCATTTGTGCCTTTACTCTCTGCGACTTCGCTTCTATCCAGATTGCTTCACGCAAATGACCATTACAAAGCATCCCATGCACACCATGTTGTACATTCTAGTCATTTCAGTCTTTTTGTCCTCGAGTGCTCAGCAGAATTGACACAATAATACATCATCAGTCCTGAAACATGCTCATCTCCTGTCTCCTGAGGCATCGCAGACTCTCTGCTTTCTTTCCAGCTCCCTCTTGGCTGCCTTTGACTCTTCCATACAACCCATCCATGTGGCAAGTTATTTGCACTCAGCTCTGGGCCCTCTTTTCTTTTTCTGAAATCTGGAGCCCAAATGATTTCATTATAATGTCTTTTTTAAATTATTTATTTATTTATTTATTTATTTATTTATTTATTTATTTATTTTTTCCTAGAGCATCTCAATGTGAACTGAGATTCATTTGTGAAGAACAAACATAAATATTTAACTTCAGGCCATGATAAGTGCTTTAAAGGAAAAATTTAAATGGAGAGACAGTCTAGTGGAGAGCCTAATTTATAATGATTTATACTGATGGAGGGGGCAGGGGCCTCCCTGAGGAAGTGACATTTCAGCTGAGACCTAAATGATGAGTGGAAGCTGGGCAGGTGCAGAGTCAAGGGAAGCAAAGGCAAACAAAACAAAAGTAGCAAAGGCTGTCTGAGGACATTCATACCTATTCTCTGTGTTCTAGACTGCCTATGCTTTCTGGACATGTCCATTTGGTTGTCTCTAAGGTATCTCAAACAAGTATTATGTCCACAACACATTTCCAGAAGTTTGGATTTCCTCATATGTACTTGTTTTCTCCCCAGACTTCTCTGCTTTAGTAAATGGCTCCATATTCCATTTGCTCAAAAAGAAACCTGAGTGTTCTTACTGACCCCTCCCTCCCCCTTGCTTCCCAAACCCACTCCAAAGGCAAGACCTGTTAATTCTACCACTAAAATATGTCAAGAATCCATGCACTTGCTCCACTGGTTAGAGCCACTATCTTCTCTCACCTGGAAAAGACTGAAGTAATCTTTCCACCATTCTCCTAACCTGAAGGCAAGCCACCACCTCATCCATTCTCTGTGCAACAACCAATGTGATCTTCAAAACATGGGACTGCTTAACATCTATCACTTAAAATAAAAATTATCTGGCATGCTCTACACAGCCCTGCATGAGCAGGCCCCTGCTCATCTTCCAAAGCTCACCTTGGGCTACCGTCTCTCACTCACTGCGCTCCACCCTCATGACTATCTTTCAGTTCCCCAAAGCCATCCACTCTTGTATTTGCTCATCACAACTCAGGTGACTAAGTTGTGATGAGAAAATACATTTTTTTTTTTTTTTTGCTTTCTAAGCCATTCTGTAGTGCTTTCACTCCATGGTGGTATGGAGTAATGACGAAGCTGGAGGCCTCTTCAGCATGGTAGCCATTGTGGCTGTGGAATCCCTGGAAGACCAGCCAGTCGCCATGTCCTTAATGATGCTCCTGAAGGCCAGATGCTCTATTGCCCAGGATACAGTCTATGTCTTATAGCCATGTCTTTGGAACTACAGCTGTATAGGTGTGACTTACAACCTCATATCCCTTCTACACACAACTATATAGCAGTGAATATACAGCCAGGTGATTAAGGGATCGATCAAGTAGGAGCCAGAAGCCAGTACTTTAACCATCTCTGGAAGCAAAAAATGGGAATTAAAGGAATAGTTAATAAGAGAAAAGGCAATAGCTACCAGGATCAATGTACAATCACACAACTCTGCTTAAAGTGTTTTAACTCACATCCTAAGGGGCAGCACCACTTCTGTTTCGGTTACACTGTATGTAACCAAAAAACAAGAATCAGGCAATTCTGGTTTTACATTTCACTCAGTACCTCCCATACCTTGCTTACCTGATAGGGAAATTTACAGACAACACTAGCCTAACACCCTGATGTCTAGAACACAAGCATGATAGGAATGAAAAGATTGTAAGTTAAGGAAATGGAAGCTCTGATCAGATAATGACCAACTTTATTACTTCTCTTCCAAGGAACTGAATTGAACTATATTTTAAAGTTTTTTTCCCCTCTCATTGTTATTAATTTTGCACTCCTGAATGTTCCAGGGATTGAAAAGAATTGAACTAGACAGATTTTAAATATCCAAAGGTTGATGGGTCAATGTGGTTCCACCTTTGACCACTTAGAGGAGAGGGCACCTCTGCGTTCTGTCCCAGTAAAAGCAAACCATTTCACCTGTTCTACTTTCCCCCTCCAGAATTCTGAAGATGAAATACAGGTTCTTTGAAATAGTGTAGGTCTGATATTGAAATATAGTATTTATTTCCTGGGTTTAGGTAGGAAATGAATTTATGAATTGTCTCGTCTAAAAGGTAGATGGCTTATACAATTTAAAGAACATTCTAATAATCAGTATTTCATTCCAAATTACAAGAAGAATAACACTAAATAACAAAAGACATAAAATAGTTGCAAATTTATTGACTAAGATAATTATAAAAATAGTCTAGCTGAAACTTGTTTTGCTCAGTGGATAGAGTGCTGGCCTGCGGACTGAAAGGTCCCAGGTTTGATTCCAGTCAAGGTCATGTACTTTGGTTGTGGGCATATTCCCAGTAGGGGGCATGCAGGAGGCAACTGATCGATGTTTCTAACTCTCTCTCCCTCTCCCTTCCTCTCTGTAAAAAGTCAATAAAATATATATTAAAATATATATATTAAAAAATAATCTAGAATATAAAATGTTAGTATGACCAAAACTATATAATTTCTATAAATAGTAATTTTAATATGTCTAAGTGATGAGGCAAAGAGCTGATCTTTAGTATGGAATAGTAATTCTAATTTGTTTTCCTAAGTTTGTAGCAAATTAAGTCCTCTTGAATGTCTTTATATTCACAAATGAGAAATGTATGATAATGTATAACATCACATATATTCTGGCTCTGCTCTTAATAATGGGTATGACTAATTCTTTAAAATCATTCTTTTTGAATGGTCTAGTGTTAGGAAGAATGGATTTTTTTAATGAGTACAGTTAAGAGTGCTCTGGAGTGATATTTGTAATAACATGCACCCATTTGGTGGTGATACCTACATAATCAGTTGCCAATCAAAGAAATTTGGAACTGAGTAATAGTCGACTATTTAATTATTTTTAAAAATATTTTATTTTGGACAGAAATGGCTTTCCCTACCTTCCGGCACCAACATTTGAAAATTTGAGCAAATATTATTTTCATGCCAGCAAGTTGACTTCTCAAGAAAAACAACACACAAAACAGTTACATTCCGAATTGTTAGAACAGTACTGGCTCCAATTAAAATGTAATACCCATAGTTTTTAGTTTTCATCCACTTAGGGAAACAATAGCTAATGAAAAACAATCTCAAAAGAAAAAAGAAAAACAATAAGAAAGCCCTATTCAGAATGGAGCCAAGTCATCTGGAATCGGGTTGGGTTCATGCTGGGTGGGTAGCTCTCCCAAATGCTGCCTTTTCATCTCCTTCTGCACTCCATAACTCCACTGGGAGCTGGAAACTGAGGGAAAGTGGGAATTGTGCCCAGGCACTAAGCACTGAAAGAATCTGTAACATCTAGTATAGAGAAAGAACAACCCTTGTATTCATGCTGAGAAAATTTTGAGATGAGCCACAACTATTGATCTTCTACCAAAACAACTCAAGTCTTATTTCCCAAGACGACTTCTTTTTAAAAAAATTATAAAATGATGAGGTACAAGGTACACCCACCAGCTGCCAAATTCATTTAGCCAGTAAATCAGTAAATCTGAGATTAGTAAAAAGTCCTGCTGTTCTCTCCTGTGTCTGCCCTGCCTCAAGAGGTGACTCACTCAAATTCACATTGGGCCCAATCTCAGAGGAGGCAATCAGTGGCTAAGAGTGACTGAGCACTTTAGGAAATAAGCACTCTGGTTTCTCAAATGATGGGCCTGATGACGTTTTCACATCTTGGGACCCACTTCTCTGTTGCATAGCATCACCCAAAATCCCCCTCAGAGCTGGTGTGGGGCAGACATGAGAGGCTCCCCAGCTTGGAAAGGACTTTAAGAGGCTAATTGTCTGTGGAGATGAATGGTTACAGTCACTGGGCTCTCGAGATGGAATGCAGCTTATGAAGCAGAGCATTATTATTCCCAAACCCACATTCTGCAGAGGAAGTGGAACTTCTCCAACTGGTTGGTGAGCTTCTCGGTTGTTTACCTTTGGGCTTCGTTTCCAAGAGTAGCTTATTTCCTAGGCCTCGCTGGCCAAAGGGTGGGGGTGGGGGGGTGGGGAACAAAGGTCCAAGTTACAAAGAGGTACTTGATTTTGGGTACCATCTGGTTCCCAAGATGACAACACTCATCAGAACTCAGGAAGGCTACTTTGGTGATTCCTGCCTAGAGTCTGAACTTTCTGGCTCAGGGTAGAGGCATGCCTCCCCACAGGCTTCTGAAAGCATAGACCTGCTAGTTTTAAGTCTACTGTTCCATTTGATGATCACTCAGGCCAGGTTCCCATCACATAAAGGAATTTGAGGGAAGTCTTATCTTTTTTCTTCTCTTTTACATGAGAGTTCCAACCCCAAAGTCCAGGATTTGGAGAAAGGTCTTTCTTCTTTGGAACCTCTTTGAGATATATATATATATATATATATATATATATATATATATATCACAGAGAAAGGGAGAGGAGAGAGAGAGAGAAACATCAGTAATGAAAGAGAATCATTGATCGGCTGCCTCCTGCAGGCCCCCACTGGAAATAAAGCTGAGACTCTGGGAATGAACACTGGCCTGGAATCAAACTGTGACCTCCTGGTTCATAAGTCTATGCTCAACCACAAAGCCATGCCCATCAGGCTTTGGGCCCTCTTTAGAGCAAAGCTCTGGTGACCGTTTGGATGTCCCAGGTCCCTGAACCAGGCAGGCAGGTTAGTTCTGGCTGCTACCCTCACTGTGTACAGGTATTTAGGTGCACCTTTCGTGACAATACTTGTAGTTAAATACAAGGCATCTCATTCAAACAGGAAATTCACATTTTTCACATTGTTTAGCCAGAACTAACACGCTATAGAAGCAGCAGTGCAGATAAGGAATTTGTGGAATGTGAACGTTCTTTGTACTTTTCCCTCTGTTGAGAACATTGCTACTTTCTCCATCCTCTTCAGCACTAGTGTCAATGGTCCGCCTTCCAGAGCCACCTGGTAACTCACAGTTCATCTGGTAACACCTCTGAGAGGATGAGAGGATAGAGCATGGCAAGGTGGTTGGCATTTGAACAGACCCACTTTCAAGTCTCCGGATCAATCCATCATTTAAAAAGTAGGGCTTGCCTAACCAAAACCGGTTTGGCTCAGTGGTAGAGCGTCAGTCTGCGGACTGAAAGGGCCCAGGTTCGATTCTGGTCAAGGGCATGTACATTGGTTGCAGGCACATCCCCGGTGGGGGGTGTGCAGGAGGCAGCTGGTCGATGTTTCTCTCTCATTGCCATTTCTAGCTCTCTATCCCTCTCTCCTCCTCTCTGTAAAAAAAATCAATAAAATATATTTAAAAATAAATAAATAAATAAATAAATAAATAAAAATAAAAAGTAGGGCTTGAGGGAGACTAATTAAGGGGGAAATAGAAGAATCAGAAAGGCCTGGTGTCCATAAAGCCAAGGAAATGATAAGGTATGCTGTAAAGTGGACAGGTAAGACAGGTGAGTGGACAGGATCATGAAGAAAAGGGCTTTCCAGGAGCTTGGCTGTGAGGGAGAGAGATTTTTATTTTAAGAAGGGAGAGACTTGGTCATGGTTCTAGAGCACATGTGTCAAACACAAGGCCCGCGGGCCAAATCCGTCCCGCCAGGCCTTGCAATGAGGCCCGCACCGAGCTGTCATCACTGCACTCCGCTGCTTTTCCATCACAATGACAGTTTATGACTGTTCAGTAAACCATTCGGCCCGCGATTTAGGCTGGATTTTAGATTTTGGCCCCTTCTCTGATTGAGTTCGACACCCCTATAGAGGAAGGTTCAGAAATAGGGAGAAGGAAAATCACAGAGCAAAGGCCCAAGAGTGGTTGGATCCAGAGTCCAAGAGGACGATTTGGGAAGGAGAAAATACAGCTTTTCCCCTTTGAAAACTGAGGAGAAGGCTGGAAAGTGAGTTTGATCGTAGGACAGTTTGAAGTTCTAAGGGTGGAAGTTGAGAGAGTTCATGAAATAAAAGCTGTTATGGACTAAATGTTTGTGTCCCTCAAAAATTCATATATTGAAGTCCTAACCCCCAATGTGTTTCTATGGGGAGGTGGGCCCTTTGGGAGGTAATTCGGTTTAGATGAAGTCATGAGGATGGAGCCCCCATGATGGGATTAACATCCTTAGAGTACAGGAAGAGACCAGAGCCATCTGAAAACCAGGAAAAGGGCTCTCACCAGATATGGAATTCAAGACACCTTGATCTTGGACTTCTCAACCTCCAGAAATGTGAGAAATAAATGTCTGTTATTTAAGCCACCCAGTCTATGACATTTTGTTATAGCGGCCCAAACAGAATAAAACAGAAGCTTTGGTCATCTGCTGAGAGAAGTGTGATCATGGTTGGGGAGGGATCAGGTCGGTATAGTGGTGAAGGTGGAAGCTGGGAGAAAAAGGAGAGGAAAGAGCCTGTGAAAGGATGGTTGTGCTGAGAGCCCAAGTGAGGTCAGAAGACACTGTGGTTTGCTGAACCCAAACCACAAGAGTGTGAATTCCTCTGACCACATTCAGGAGCCCTCAGATAGATCCAAAGAAGGAAAATGCAGTTAGCCTTTGAACAACATGGAGATTAGGAGTGCTGATTCTCTTTGCAATTGGAAATCTAAGTATAACTTTTGAATCCCCCAAAAATTTAGTTTTCCCTTGGTGTCTACAGGGAATTGGTTCTAGTATACCTGCAGATAGCAAAATCTGTGAATGCTCAAGTCCTCTACCTAGAATGGCATAGATCAATGCATACTGTCAACCCTCTGCATAAGGAAACTCCCAACCACTAATTGAAAACAGTACATGTATTTATTGAAAAAAATCTGAAAAAAGTGGACCCAAATGATTAAAACCCATGATGTCCAAGGGTCAACTATAATTGGGTTGATCCATAGAAAAGGGTTTGTGGGACTAACACAGTGAAAAAAAAAGGAATGAAAAGAATGAGGTTGATGGTAAGACAGTGACAGAAAAGTTGTGCCCTGGGATCCAGCCATGATGGGCTAAAAGAAGAGTGGAGATAAATGGCAGATGGACTGGGGGGAAATGGGTGATGGAGCTGGAAGAATAAGGGATAGGTGTGAGGTTAGATAGATAGATAAACAGAGGCAGAACAAGTCTAGATTGCTAAAGTGGAATAGAGTTGAAGATTTTTGATAAGACATTATCAAATAATGCTTTTAGAAGATTAATTTTCTTTTTTTTCTGAAGGAAAATAGAGGTCAGCATATCACTTAGAAGGCTAATGTAATGGTTCAGATCAGAATGCATATTGCAGCTTCCCTCCTGTGCACACAGCAATCACCATTTATGGACAACCATGCTCTCCTCCTAAAAACTCAAAATTATTTTCAACATAGGACTCCAGGAGCAACTACTAATTATTTGGAATTGGCCCCTGAGGTGGAATCATCTTCTAGTTCTGGTCCAGATGAAAAGTATTGTAATAAGCCTTCGTTAGATTTTCAGCAGCAGAGATCAAGTGACAGAAGGAGAAAGGACATCTCACAACCCAGACTCAGTTCGTTGGATCTCAGAACCCTGACGGGGCCAAGGGACAATCCCAGAACTCAAAATTGCCCTGAGGATACCCATAAGCCCAGCTTCTCCTAAAGCCCCAGCGCTCACCTGAACTGTTCCTCATTGTCTAGGATGGAAGTCCCAGATGGGTTAGCTTTGGTCGGCTTCCAGAGGTGGAGAATGAGGCAAACCACAGGTCTCATAACTAAATGATCTTCCACATAAGAACAGATGAGTAGTTCTTCTGGCCACAGCTCATGGGAGGATGCAGTTAATTCTTTTTAGTCACTCTGGGTCTAAGTGTCCTCAAAGCTAGACCTAGCCTGAGGCTGCTAGAACCAGAACTAGCTTTGGACCCACCTCTGAGAAACACCTTTCATGTTAATATTTTTTTTCCTTTTGAGTTGAGAGCCTTTAGCTGGAAGGAAGCCTTCCTTCCTCTCTGCTGGAACCCCTTGCTTTTAGGCCTTTGTTTTCTTCAGCCATTGCAAAACTCGTCTCTGATTACCCAATATGGGCAATGTGCAATGCAGTGACCTGATGACAGCACCGAGACTATGGAATCCCATTAAGCCCAGTGGTGGTAATACATCAGATATTCATATAAGTAGTTTCCAATACTAATCCTTGACTTGTCGCCACAACTTCCTTTAGAACGTTATTAATATTAAACAGGATCAGTCATCTCTATGCCATTCTGGTCGCCACTTGTTAGGACTTTTTATTGTTGTTACATAAGGAAATGTCTTCAGCGTAAAGGCCTTAGGGACTGCTTTTCTTTTTTTTTCTTCTGTTTATCTCTTTGTTCATGTTTGTTTGTTTCTCTTTAGTCACTTAGGAGAACCAAGGCTGGAGATAGAGAAAAACCTCTGTGTGTTCAGTGATCCAAAAGGGACTGGTATTTAACGAAAATATATGGATGTGTAAAGGCTTATTGAAAAAGTTAACAAAGGAAAGTAAACACTGTGATTGTGTGTGTGTGTGTGTGTGTGTGTGGAGAGAGAGAGAGAGAGAGAGAGAGAGAGAGAGAGAGAGAGAGAGAGAGAGAGAGAGAGAGAACAGGAGAGAGAGAGAGATGACAACAGACTTCTCTGCCTCTCTGGGCAGAACAAGAGAGGATGAGATAGTAAAATAGTCTTGGGTGGGAAGGTGGAGGTGTGACCTGAAATACCTGTGACCAGACGCATATCTGGCAGGTTTGAAGCCTGAGAGTAACATGTGTCACATGTTACCAGTCTCCCTGGCATTTCCTCCTGGCTGAGCTGTATTAACACTCAGCCTTCCACACTCTCAGGTGCAGTCTCTTCTGGCTAGGACTAAAAATATAACAACGTCCCTGCCATTTCAGAGAGCAGTAGAAACCTGGTAATTGATTTTAAAACAAGTCAATATTCAAGATACATACGAAAGTTTCTAAAACTGTGGGTCACATTCCAACAGGGAGTTAATGGCTACCTGAGAGCTTCCTGTCCTACACCTTCTCAGTTTAGCAGAAGGATCCTTCCTTAGCTAACAGGCATCTATTGAGCACCAGTTGATAAATAAGAAGGCTACATAAATTAAGACAAGCTGACCTTAATAAGTTTACAAACTGGTTTGGGAGGCAACATTAACACATGTTGGGCAGTAGGTGCCTGCTATTTATAGACTTACTATATAGAGACTTAATATGTTTGTGTCCCCCAAAATTCAAGTGTTGAAACCTAATACCTAATAAAATGGCATTTAGAAGCAGGCCTTATGGGAGGTGATTAGGTCATGAGAGTGAGGCCCTCATGAATAGGATTAGTGCCCTCACCCCTTCTGCATATGAGGACATAGTGAGAGACAGCCAGCTAGAAAGTGGGCTCTCACCTGACACCAAATTGGCCAGCACCCTGTACTTGGATTTCACAGCCTCTAGAACTATGAGAATAAATTTCTGTGGTAATTTTAAGACTAGTCTGTGGTATTTTATTACAGCAGCTGGATGAACTAAGACATTACCTCTGTAAATCTATCCACAGTTACCAAAGAGCATGCCGAATGTACTAGAAGGACACTTGTGAAGTCCAGGGTAAAATTAAATTTTTTTTTCTAAGAAGATGAGTTATGAACTGATTCTAAAAAAGCAAAATAATCCATTGTTTTGGGTTTTATGGTAAGCTTTGGAATTTTTAATTGCAAAACTAATAACTCTATTTTAGAAAATACAGGTTAGAAAAAAGCAAGTTTAAACTCACCAACTTTCCCACTACCAAGATCTAACTGCTGGAGCATCACCGTGGACCCTAGGCCCCTTCCATCATCTTCTCCCTTTCTATCACTCTGGTCTGATTTACTTCATATCTAGAAAGCATCCTATTAGATTTCATTTCACAAAGAGTTTCTACCGGTAAAGCAAATTTAAAAATGAATGCTAACTCCCAGGCCAGGTAAATTTCCCTGAATCCTGCTTCCTGAATCACTCACTTTCTAATCATTATCTTAGCCATTCAGGCCCTTTTACTTCTGGAAACGAGCTAAACCATCACCCTCCTACAAGACTCCGTTTCTATTATTTGTATTTGTAACTGTTCTGTATTTGTGCATGATATTAAACAGGCACTTAAACACCAATTGGTTCTTTTATTTTGAGGAGATTTAGGTCATTATTTGTACCTGAAGATAGTAGGAAGAGGAAGACAAGACAGAGTAAAGTAGGACAGAAGAAATTATACAAAATAAAATTGTCAAGAAGAATAACCGTGGAAAAACATTTACCATTTTGGTAAAAGAATAAAATATTCCTAAAGTAATCTCCCATTTTATAGGCATTGCTTCAGGTACACATATCTCACTCACCCATTCAACAAATACATATTAAGCATCTACTGTGTATCTAACAAAACAGACAACATCCCTTCCAGTTTGGTGTAGAGAAACATAGTCTAAAGGTTTAGATCATTTTAAACTATGGTAAGTACCATAAAGGAAATAAACAGAATGGGAAGTAAAGATGCAGTTCCTTTGGATTAAATGGGCAAGGAAGCCTTTCTGAGGGGGTGATATTTGAGCTGAAACAGATGGATAACAAGGGCCCACCTACACAGAGTCAGGAAAAGAATGTTCAGAGGACCACCACATGCAGTCCTACAGGTTGAACATGGCCAACTATGGCGCTCCCTGGAGTTATGTAGTGTGGTAGTGCAGACTATTCCAGGCACATATAAGTCAATTCCCTTGTATAATTCATTTATTTTGCTCAAGTAGACTTGCACATTTCTTGGCCATCTGAATACAATGGCAATCAAATTAACCATGTGGTAGTTCAGACAAGTCAAGAAAATGACCCTTAGCAAATTGTAAGCTGGAATTCATTGTTCAATTTATGACTACATGCTTTTCACTTCTGGAGACGTGGGAAATGAATCTAGAAATTCACATACTTTAAATAGAAAAAACTTGAGATTATTTTTAGAACCAATCCATGTCTATTCCTATGGTCATAATGCCAGGAAAAGGAAATATGAGTAATTGCTGTCCAAGCCTATAGATGGCTTTCATGGTGAGAAATCTTCCCTCTTCAGAAATGATCAAATGTGGAGTTTTGAAAATAGCGTTTATAATTACAGAGTATACTATTAAAGGTCTGCCACTCAACCATTTGACTCCATGGCCAAGGTGATATCCCATAATGACAGGTTAATGGGTTTCACGCTTAATAAAAACAAAAGAGATCATTAGACTTCTAGTAAAGTCAACACTATAATTCTCTGCTGGCTTCAAAATCAAATGCATAGAGAACCTTTAAGCTTCCAAACTGGTTTAATGGCTTTCACAGTAAGTGACAATTGACAATCGAGGCAAGGGAGACTTAACCAGAGGTCAGATATTGACCTCAAATCACTCCGGAAGTGAACATCCAGAACTGATCCCCTTTCCCCCAAATCTCTCAGCTGATTCTACTTCCTCTCTGAACTGTGCTCATCAATGTTTGAATCTGTTGAATTCCATTCTTTGGAGGAAGTTCCAGTCACTCCTTCCCCCATTCTCTGGCATGTAAACCCCAAGCAGGAGGGGAGCTGGCAGGAATGCAGGGTAGGATGGAGCAGAAGTTGTGCTCCTGGGGAGGTGCTGAGAACAGAAATTCCGGAGAGTGAAAAATGCAGGCCAGTTTTGGCAGGTGGGATTATTCAAGGGCCTCCAATTGTGGGAAGCAGGATGGAGATATCCATCCACCAGTGACAGGTAGAGCAGGGTTATTCTGGGATATCAGATTCAAAATAGGTGGAAAGGTGGCTCAGGGCTCAAGACCTGACTTATGAAGGTAGAAGGACTAGAGGCTCTGGAGTATGCTTTGCAAACCTGACTATACATAGGAACCTCTTGGTATCTTGCAAATAATGTGGACTCTGATTCAGTAGGTCTGGATTCTGCATCTCTAATGAGCTCTCAGGCAGTGCCAGGGCTGCTGGTTCATGCACCACATTTAAACAGCAAGGGTCATGGTCCCTCCCCCCACTTTCTCCTCACTATCATGGGCCCAAGAGGAATGGAGGAGCCTGATGCTCTAGAAACTGGGCAATCACACCACAGTGCTGGCAGGACATAGCAGCCCATGGGCTAGGAGCATTCAGAGCCCTCTCATTAATTCCAGGGCGGGGGCTGAGCAACTGGCTGCTGGATGAGGCTCAGAGCAGAGAGCCTGAATCACTGGGCATAAGAAAATTATCTATTGAAATAGCTTAGAAACAAAGATGGGTCCTATTTGGAGGATCAAAGGGAAGGGCTTAAAAATCTCTGATACTCCATTTTCCTTTTACAGTAAGAAGACTAGGTAGTAACTGTAAGGCATTTCAGCATTTTTAATGCAATTTGGATGATGAGACCCAAATTACTTTTCCAACGTAAACCAATCAAGCACATTCCAGTTGGAGTGTCTTTACCAAAAATAAACTTCTTTATGAATGTATAAAGAGATAATTAGACTGTCTCCAAGGCATTGAGCTTATTCCCGAAGGTGGAGCGAAGCCAGGATGTCTCAGAGTAAAATGAGGATGCCAATGTAATGACTCCATGCCTCGCCCCTTCCCACTCTACCCGCCGTCCTCTCTCCACCCTAGTGGTCAGCTTTAGTCTTCTCAGAGGCTGTGGTTTTGATTCCAGCCTGGTCCACCGCTGCAGGCTCCATTCCTAATTCTAAATTTATCATCTTTCATGTCGCACTGTTCATCACTGGAGGGACTGGCAAAGAGGAGTAATGTTTTAGGTCAAATTCTGCCCAGCGCCAGGAACACCACCCAAGCTCACACCTAGATGGTGCGGGTAAGCAGTGCCACTTCTGTGAGGATCATGCACTTTCCCCCATGGGCACACTCGACACCAGAATGAGACTTGACAAGGCTTACAAATAATTCTCTTTTTATTTCAAGAACATGTCACAGCTAAGATTAAGCACCATGTCTCAGCTACCATTGATTCTGAAATAAAAT